CATTTTAAATGCAACCAAATAAAATTGAAAAGTAGACGAATACTAAATTCGAGAATAATAATGGAGAGTGTGCAGGAAAGCTCTCTATAAATGTGGAGAAATTCGCGGTCTGTGCATTACAAAAGAAGACAAAAAATTGCCAACTGAACATCAATCTTTTTCCTTGATCTATCTTTTCTGAAGACTAGGGTTCAAGTCCTGGTTCGGCCAACATCCAAATAAACTTATTTTGTGGATGTGGAAGCTGCTCGGCAGAGAATGTCCAGCTCTGCAACAGTATTTCTGACATGAAATAAAAGCCCCTCTTAAAAATCTATCGGCCGCTTGGAGATAGCTGAGACAAAAGAGTGTATCTCTCCATTTGTTGAAAAACATCATGGCGCATTTCATGAATTGGAGTAGGAACTCGGCCGAAAATCACTTAATAATAAAGCGGCAACATAGTTCGTCAGTTTAAACTTACCTGCAGCGTGTAGATAAAGCACGTCGGCTCTTAAACCACTGCAGAAGTACCTTTATAGCCTAATGGAGGATCCGTCTCTAAGATTCAGAGTAACACGTATGGCAACGGCTGCCAAGTAGCTAGTGTAGGCTGGTGTGAAAAATCGTGATAAGACGCAAGGAGTCAACTTGGACATCAGTCCAGCTCATAGAAAATAAATGTATAAAGCGACGTTAACATAACTCGGGCTAAATGTACAATCCGACCGGGTCTACTACCGCCTACATATAGATAAATATACCAGCGATAATAAAATGTACACAAATAATGTGTTCTTTTCGCCGTTTCTCCTAATTGAAGATGGCAATGGAGTGGAGGTATTCTTCTGGCTCTACTTTTACTGGCCTGTACTGAATCGAATACTTTCTCACTAAGCGGATGGGAGAGAATGTTGGAATGCCTTTAGGATGAGTACCAGGCTCGTTTTAAAAAATCGTTTCTTCCTTTGCACCATGCCATAGAAGACGCCTGACGCTGCGCAGTCGCAAATCGCTTACTTAGCAAGGGCGAATGGATGGGAAGATACAAGAATATCAGATTTTCAGATATCCGATCTGGACCTTATGAGGGTTGAATGAATTTATCGAACCATGGGCTCTTCAAAATTGGTTATGTTGGGTGAGCGTGTAAGCGTTGCAAGCATGCAAGTCTTCGAGCCTCTTACCAAGCACACTGGACCTTGAGAAGGTGAATGCCATGACCTAGCCGACGTAGCCGCTGAACTCTTGTCTAATTCAATATACGAGTATATATATGATATTCGCCGCTGAAAATACATAAATGACAATAAATCTTCTTCGGAAACATCCAAAGCCGACTCATCGGATGACGACAGCATTAACGCTTCTGCGACATATAGCAGCACGGGACTTGTAGAGTTTCGTCTGGCCCTACACAGCTGTACAGTTCGTAATCTTTTATCTAGCATTAAGTCAAAGAAGTCACCCGATCAAAAGCCCCCAGTCTGAAACCTCGTTTAGCTGAAATTTGCACACGGAAGAGTTTCTTCCTGATCCTGGCGGAGAGTTTCTTGTTGCTCAGCGTATCTTAAAAAAAACCGTATAAGCTTAGCGGTAATTGAAGGCGGGCTTAAATTCAACGCAGATGCTGTGTGTTTGGATTCTTTTCACAAAAGTCCTATCCATGACTCATGGTGAATATCTGGTCTTTGGTGGAAGAAAACACTAGAATTTATATAATATTTAAAAGACTTGTCTGTCGATCATTTGTGCACACTGTGGGCTCCCTTTTCGTATAGGTTGGACAGAGCACACCCTAGAGACCAAATATTCTTTTTCGGAAACACCGCCCGTAAACCCGCTCGGTTTTCTTAAAATAATAGCGGATCTGCAATGAACGGATATACCGGACACTATTTTACTCGATTATGAAGGAGTTAGTATAAATTTAAAATTTTAGTACTTGTATGTATTTAATTATTATTTAAAAATAATTTTCAAAATTACAACACTTAAAAATATTCAAAAAATATTTGTTCAAGTAAAAAATGCTGGATTTTTCTTTATGAGTGACTGAGCAAAATAATCAAGTATGAGTCATGTACATATTTATTTCATTTCAGATTTTGTAAATTTATTTGTTTTTATTTAAATACCAAGTTTACGTTGCGCTTAACCGCCACAAATTCTCTGCCTTTCATTGTTATAAGTTCTTTTCTGTTCTCTGCTTAAGCATGGACAAGCACCACCCGCAGTAGCAAAAATCCAACAGATGGCGCCTTTTGCTTAAGTAGGTACACATGACAGCACGGTAATTTGGCATTTGCTATTATTCAAACTTCAATATATTTGCTTTCCCTCCAGATATTTAAACAAATAACGACTGGATTTGTTAAGATAATTCTTTGTATTTTATTTTTTTTAATTTTATTCTATTTCTTTTCAGTTTAATTTATATCGTTTTTTTTCATTTTATATTGATTTATTTAATTTTATTTTTCTTTTATTATATTTTGCTTTATTCGAAATTATTTTATTTTATTTTCCTTTACTTAATTCCATATTCTTACTCCTTTTTTGTTTTATTTGATTTTGTTTTGTTATATAATTTATAAAATTTATATTATTTCAGTTTATTTTATTATTTTCGATATTTTCGTATATAATATATAAATTATTTTATTTTACATTTCTATTTATTTTATTTTAATTATTTTATTTAATTCAATCAAATCTTATCTTATTTTATTTTCCTTTATGTTGTTTTATTATTTATCTTTCTATTTTGTATTGTATTTATTTATTTCAATTCATTATCATTTATATATTTCATTTTTGTTGAATATACAATAATTTCATTTCAGTTCATTTTATATCAAATTATTTTATATTATTTTATTTCAAAATTATTAAATTATTTAATTTTTTATTCAGCGTAGTTTAATTTTGTTTAATTTTGTATTAGGTTATTTAATTTTATTTTTATTTTATTTTATATAATTTAATTAGTTCAATTTAATTTTTCTTTACTTTATTTTATTTCATTTATTTTTATTTTATTGTGTTTTATTTAATTATTTTTAATATATTTATTATTCACTATTTATTATTTTATTATATTAATTTTTTCTTGTTTCGGAGGCGGCTTAGTATAAATTGTAGGTTCAATCGTTTGTTGGAAAACGTCAAAATTACAAGTTGGAGGAGGAGCTTCAGCGGTTACAAAGCGCCCATTTTATATATATAAATATCTTGTTTTATTTTTTATCTTTCCATTTTTTATTTTATTCATATATTTTATTTTAATATCTTTTATACATATCATATATTTATTAAATTCATTTTTATTTAGTTTATTTTTATATTAAATTATTTCATTTTATTTCATTATATCTTAGTTATTTAATTTTTAATTCAATAATCTAATCTTGTTTAATTTAATTTAATTTTTCTCCTATTTATTTTATATTGTGTTATTAATTTTCTTTTATTTGGTTTTTTTATTTTACTGTCTTTTCATTTAATTTTTTATTCTCTAATTATTATTTTAATTTAATTTTGATTAATTTAATTTCTGTAAATTTATTTAATTATATTTTTTTAATATTATTTAGTTAAATTTAATTTTACTTAATTTTATTTTATTTTATTTGGTTTCTTTTTATTCTATTCTGTTTTATTTAATTTCACTTTTCTTTAACGGTATTTTATTAATATTTATAAATTTATTTATATATCATTATTCTTCATTCTTCAGTTTATTTCATATTATGTTGTTTATTTTTTGTTATTAGGTTTTTTCATTGTACCCTGTTTTAATTTATTTTTTTACTCGCTATTTATTATATTACTTTTTTTGTTTAATTTATTTAATTTGTGTAAATTTATTTAATTTTATTTTCTCTTTGGTGGTATTTAATTAATTTTTTTATTTTATTTATTTTTCATTATTTATTATTTTATTTTATTAATTTTTCTTGTTTAATTTAATATATAATTTTATTTGGTTTTTTTACGTAATTTAGTTCAATATAATTTTTCTTCATTTTATTTTATATTATTAAATTTATTTTATTTGGTTTTTTTTTTTTATTCTGTTTTATTCTATCAAATTCTTTAAATTTTATTTATTTTATTTCATTTTGTTATATATATTTGAATGTTTTTATTGAATGTATTTTAATTTATTTTCATTTTATATTAACTTTTTTAATTTATTTTATTTCATTTCATTATATTTTAATTATTTAAATTTTTTTTCAATAATTTTATTTTTAATTTTGTGTAAGTTTATTAAATATTACTTTTTTAAATATAATTTGGTTTATCATCATCATCATTTTATTTTATTTGGTTTGTCTTTACTTTATTCAGTTTTTTTATTTTATTCTGATTTATTTAATTTAGTTTTTTTGTTTAATGGTATTTAATTAATTTTTTAACATGTTTATTATTCATTATTTATTATTATATTATATTATATTAATATTTCTATATTTAATTTAATTTAAATTGTATAAATTTATTTAATTTTATTTTTTTTGATGTAATTTAGATCAACTAAATTTTCTTTATTTTATTTTATACTATTAATTTTATTTTCTATTTTTTTATTTTATTTTATTTTTTCTTATTTTTAATTTTTTTATTTTATATCATAAACTGAAAATATATATTACATTTTATTAGTTTCATTTTATTTGTTTTTTTTTTTTAATTTTATTTCTTATAATTTATTTTTTATATTCTTTAATTTAATCAATTTTGTTTTATTTTATTTATTATTCATTATTTTTTTATTTTAATCTTTTTTTGTCTGATTTTACCTTTTTATTTTCATTTAGCTTAGTTTTGAATTCGATTATTTATATAATTTGTTTGTTTTTTTAATTTATTTTAATTTTTTGTATTTCTTTTAAGTAATATTCTTTGATATTATTTTAAAGTTTTCTATATTTTATTTGATTATTTCCCTTTATTACTGGATTTCATTCTTAGATGAGGATGAAAAATCAGAGAAGACAAACAGGCAAATAGACTAAAAAATATATATTTTATTTTATCATAAAATATTAACAAACATACAAAATATTATGAAAATTTCGTTAAAAAAACTCCCTCTTCGAATTATGATTTATGTGTTGTGTGTTGCCGATTTGGCAAAAACTTTATCCACAAATTGTATAAAATCATCGTAGAGAATTTGAGGCAACTCCATTGCAGCAAAGTGACCTCCATTGCTGTGATATGTGCTATGGATAATATTCTTGAATCTAGTGCCAAGTTCAGTATCCGTGGCATGAAGAAGATCATGATAAAAGCGTGCACAACCTGTGGGCGGCTTAACATGGACATAATCCATTTTCAGACTGAGCTGAGCTTTATTAAAGCCTTCAGAATATAAACGTTGTGATGTTGTTATCGAATTTGTGGTATAATAAATCATAATATTGTCCAATAGTTCATCCATAGTGAACCGCTTAGTGAGACCACCATCAGCAAGCTGCCTGTATTCAACATTAGTCCAAGTGGAAAATTTCTCCAAAATATATGCAGCTAAACCGACGGGGTTCTGTTGGAGTGCTGTGCCAATTGTGTCCGGTTTGGTTGCTTGTATATGCATATAACCGCTCTCTTCCATGATGAAGAGCAAGTCTTTACCCAACGTTTTGAAAAACGCTCTATTTTCCTCAGTGATGAAAAAGCTTGGGAACCAGCTACGTGCGAATTTAAGTACAAGTGCCACGACATGATTGGTGTTGCACAAATTCGAATGATAACCGAGCACATTCTGTGGCGTGAGAGCTGATATACTAGAGCCGAGTATTGAACCCCAGTCACCGCCCTGTATAAGGAATTTCTCATGACCCACACGTAGCATCAGATTGCGCAACACGATTGACATTTGAGCGGGACCGAAGTTTACTTTCGAAGCAGCCTGTATGGAAAACAGAATTCCTTAAATATAGCAATTCATTTTCAATTGTACCGAATTCTTACCTGAGACCAACCATAGCCGGGCAAACTTGGTGCAATCACTTCAAACACGTAGTCACTCTTGGGATTTGGATTCGTTAGTAGTGGAATAATTCTGTAGAATTCGCGTACAGATCCCGGCCAGCCATGGATCAATAGTAGCGGCACGACCTTTTTACCTTCTGTGGCTTTTGGCTTAACGTGAATGTAGTGAATGCGTAAGCTGTAAAATGGAAATAATATGTTTAAAAAATAAATTAAAAAATAAATTTATATACATTTTGTTAAATATTTATAGGTCTTAACCTCACATATGTCAAAGTCAACTACTGTTGAAAATTGGATTATACTCTTGATGGTGTCTAGCTTCTGAGAGTTTTTTGCTGAAGTCAACATAAGCGACAGCTGTCACATTTTAGTCCTGAAAGATTCCCCAATATATCTACCCAAGGTCAAGATAGGTGGGACGGGCTTTGTTTCTCCACGCATCGAAATCTCAACTGTAAAGGGTATATCACAGATCCTCAGTGGCAACCCGACCTCATGGTTAAAATTCTTGCAATTACTTTCGTCCGCTATCAGCCAAAAAATGTGATTAAGAGAGATCAAAGAGTACCTAAAAGTTTTGAAGGGAACCATAAGTCAAATTGAGAACAAGCGAAGTGACGTTTTGGCGGCGATCTAGAACATCGAAAAGTTGTAAAAGATGTTTTAGAAGTTGATAAAACCATTTGGTGAACTCAGTCGAGGTTATAGACCGTAAATGTCGTCCGTAATCAGTTGCTGTTCGGCTTAGGTACAGGTTTGATCAATCTAGGTCGCCGAGGTCATCTAGTAGGAGGTACAAGAAACGTGCTGTTTCGACGGGATTGGACCAAAGGGAGAGCGGGGTTTGATGAGTCGATTTAAGGAGGCATGTGAAGAGCTGGTTGGTGTCATGCGGAGACTCTCCACATTCAGGACATACGCTGGATATACTAGGGTCGAGTCTGGATAAGTAGGTGTTAAACTTTCTATAGTATCCAGACTTCAGTTGTGCGTCTGAATATGACACCATCCAGAGCAAGAATTGCATCTGACTGAGGTCATGTTTCGATGCAATATGGTCTGACACACGGAATAGACTGTGCGGGGGACCAGGAGCTGCGGTAGCGCTTGCACGGGAGGAGGATGAGGAGTTGATGTTGGGTAGGGATGGGGTTGAATTTGGTAGGATCATGTTGCGGGGAGCTCCGTGAGACCGTGGAGGACTGTTGGTTATCTAAAGTGGGTAAAGGTGCTAAAGGCACTAACGTGGAGGCTGTTGCATAAAACGCAGCAGAAGTAGTCCGTCGGACCAGGGTTGGTTTCGACGCCAACCCTGATGAAAAGGATTTGGGGAAGTAAGAAAAAGGTGACTTTAGATGGAACCTAAAATTGAATTTACAATCGTTTCAATTAAGCGAAAAATTAAGGTAATTCAGAACATTTTTTGAGTTCAGCTTTATATAACCACCATTTTTACTAAATCATTTCCAAGTGAGTCTTTATAACCCTTTTTTTTGGGATTTAATTTTCCCTCTCGTAAAATCTCTGCCATTACCACTGCAAGCGTTTTTTCGCCGGCTTTGTATAAAATTCAAGATATGCGATGTTGAAAGAATCATTTATAGAGATATCTAAAATTAGAATATGCAAATTTTTTTAAATGAACTTCGAGTACACCATAAGGCTATTATTGTTGTATAAGAAAATGCAAACATACGCATTCCGATAGTTTTGTGGAATAATACCAACAGATTGTCAGGGTCGTTACACTTTCAAAGACACTACTGTGTGTAATCTCTAGTTGTACTTATGGTTTCATTTGGATTTATTGTCAGTTGAAGTAAAGAGTGTGATATGCACTTAAAGCGATAGGTATACTTGTGTATGTATACTCTTATGTACATATATAGGGATGGCATACTATTTTTTCACATTTTCGTAGGTTAGTTCTTGATAAGCGTTTGTGTATACTCATAGAGAAATTTATTTAGCAATGCATCGCAGTTCATCTGTACATATTCTCTTTTTTAGTTAAGTTTTGAATAGAATTTCCTTAGGTTAGTTTATTTAAGTGGAATGATAAGGCCGATAAACTTATTTAATTCGTAATTCGTAATTCATTATGTAATCTCCACGAAAGAATTTTAAATTTTCAAAAAGCTTCTGATATCCAAAAACCTCACCGCCAGGTCACTGACGATAGAATTTCTCTTAAGATATACAAATAAATATTGAAAAGGTAAATAATTATAACCTTTATTTTAAGTTTATTAAATTAAACTATAATAATTTTTTTTTAATTTAAAAGTTTTTTTTTCAAACAAAGATTAAGCAAAAAATAAACGAAAAAGTAAAGTTAAATACACATCAAAAATCTTTCATTTATAAAATAAACATTTTTTTAAATATGTTTTGTGCACACAACTTAAATTGTTTAAACTCAAGCCAGTTAAAAAAAAAGTAGAAAAAATTTAAAAGACTTAATAATAATGTTAACCTATATATAGTTTGGACAAAATTGTATAAAAATAAAGCGATCAACAAAAAATTTAAACAAATAAATATCGGTAAAAATATAATTAAATATCATGATTGTTAATAATTAATTCAAGACAAAATAATAGTAATTTTTTTTTTAGGTAAAAAAATTAAAAATTGAAAAATATTTTTTCAAGCCCGATTGAAACAAATCAAAACCGGATATATAAACGCATGTGCTAATATTTGGAAACAAATTTCCTGTTGGGGAGTTTAGAGGAGGTCGTACACATCACAAAAATATATGTCATTCCCTGAGTTAACTTAAAGTTTTCGAGTAATTTGTTGTTAAAGCTAAAATTTTGACAAACCGAAACAGAACGCTTAAATATTGCTTATAATAAAGCCCAATAATTCTTAATATTATTTTATTTAATTAATTTATTCGTAAAATTATATTAGTATTTTTCCTCTAACCACCTCAACGGGAAATTTATTTGAAAGCCTGGCGCATTCTCGCGCAACCGATCCTTTAATTTAACATAAAAAAGGTATTTCAATTTATTTATTTAAAAAAAAAAATTTTAAATAACCTCTTTCCAAGCCATAAAATGGAAAAGAAAATTCACAGAAAATAAATATAAATTAACTAACAATGCTTTTAAATAATTAAAATTCTTAAAGCTTATATTTATATAATATTTGTTTAAAAATTCTAAAATTAATTCAATTTTAATTTAATTTCTGCACTAAATTTTATTTTATTTTTCAACTAATATTGATTATTTGTTAATACAAAAAAAAAAATTAAATTAAATTAAATTAAAAAAAGGTTTAAGAATCCTTTTAAATTATGAAATTAATATTTAGATAATATTAATTAAATTTCAGTAATAAATTTAAATTTATTAATCCCAAAAAACACTTAAACAAACGAAAAATATGGGCAAAATTAAAAAAAAAAATTAAAAATAATGTTAAGATCGATTTAATAAATTAAATAAATAATTTTAATTTCTAACTCTTTGAAATGTAAACTTTATTTTTTAAATTAATTTTAATTTAAATGCATGCTCATATTCATATTTGATTTTAATTTCGCTTAAGGTAAGTAAAATAATTAGCTAAAAATAAATATTAAAAGACGTTTAAATAAAACTATTAATTTGTTAATAATACGAGTACATAAGCTTATTATTGTATTAACGTGAGCTTCATTGTACTTGTAGCTTTCTTCATCCATAAACTTTTTTAAAGTAAGTTATGAACTTACATATATACTCGTATATGCCTTATCAAAAGCAGCGTAAATTAAGCTTACCCACTTGAAAATAAAAAAAAAAACAAAAACAAAAAATGTGACTCAATTAATATATTTGTGAAACAAACAAAAAGAGAAAAAAAAAACGCTGCCGTTACTTGCAAATAAATGTGAGTGTAAGCATACATGCATATGTATGTACTCAGATGCACTGTTGTAATTTTTTTTTTTGATAATCTTGTTGTGATTGTTGCCTGAGAAAAATGGATGTGTTATGAAAATCTTTTTTACATAAATTTTACATAAATTTTCCTTCAATTTATTAACCTAAATAACTTTCAGAGCAATTTTTTGAAACACCGCAAATTAACAAAAAAAAAAAAATATTTTTTGCATATTCTCAAAGTTTATAACGTTAAAATGTGCTCCGGAAATTTTAGGAGAACTGCAAGAATTATTTTAGAAATTTTCTATAATCAAGACAGAGCACTTGGATGCCTTTTAATGCTTTTGTATAACTTTACAGTTTTTTTTCTACAAAAATTATGTTTTGCAAAATCAGTTTATTACAAATTAGATTTATAAAGCTTTTGGATGAAAAGAGTAGCTACAGATTGAAAGACTTTTTAGTTTTTCTTTTTGTTTCGGATTTTCGTTAGAAAATAACTCTTGGTATTTCTGAAAACCAGAAGATATTTTTTTTTTAATTTTTCTTAATTTTTTTTTTAATTATTAGAAAAAAAATATTTTTTTTGGGCAATTATAAATCTTCAGGGATTTGTGAAGGTCACCCTTTTTACTAATAAGTAAAGTAATAATTTTTTTAAACAGAAGCAACACAAAAAGCCATAACTTTTAAAATCATTAAATATGTTTCTTCCAAATTTTCTTCAAATAAAGTATAAAAATATTGAATGAAGACTAATTATAATCGATTTTCTATTCTTTTTTTAATGGTCTACAGACAATAGAAAAAAATCAAAATTATAATTTTTTCCGACTAATCCTTTCCCTTCAGGTCAGAAACAGTCACGATCTCGATCTTCGAGTTCATCTCGATATATATATAATGAAGTTTTATTTTTGTCCGGTTACCCTTGATCCCAGAAACGGTGTATAGCTCGGACGACTCTGTCGTTACCGCACAACAGCAGTAGAGTATTGAGAGAAAACCATTGCTTTACTCTCATGAAATTGGTTTTGTCGATCTCAGTGAAAGTGCCAGCCTGGATGGATATTAATCCTATGGGTTTCAGTAGAATATCTAAAATTTAGTCAGGTCTCTTTGTTTGCAACCATAAATGAATGGTGTAGCACCAGATGAAGGGACTCCGTGTGGAGTTAAAACACAAAAATAAGGAATAAAATTTGTACTGTATAGTGGAAATGGCTTTCAAGCGAACATATACCAATTTTTTTGAAGATTACTCTAAGTTAAGGATATGCACATACATATGTAAGAAAAAAAATGAAAACTCACCCCTGAATTTGCGTTTCATAATGTGGAAATTGTTTGAGAAACGTTTCACGTTCATTCCATTTGGGTAGATAGGAATCACGCCAATATTTAATCACCTCACTCAAGTACTTCGAATTGAAACCGTATTGAAATCCAACACCTTCAAGTGGTTCCGGTAGCACCAGTGGTTCAGACAACTTTTTCGTTAGAGCTTCAATCAGCTATAAAATGGAATATATATATATATAGTTTTTTAAAATTTTATTAAATATGCAAGTAATTATTTACATATACTTTACATACATACAAATGTATGTAGGCAACAAATAGATAAATTTGCATGCTTATACCTTGTTGAGCTAACAGCACAAATGAGAAATGATAAATATGCAATTAATATGCAGTCACATAGCTATGTACATATGTACAACCATATTTTTTTTATATATAGAAATTTATACATATTATATACATATGTATATGCATAGACTCGTTATTAATTACCTCTGGTTTAGCACTAATATCGAACTTTTTAATTGCTGCATTTTCTTTATACTCAGCCGCCTTTCCCGGTCCCCAGTATTGATCGTGTTTTAAGTCTGGAATCGGCGCTGAACTTGAAATTTCTTGATACTTGTATACGAACATAGCAGTGGTGACCGCTATGCCCAATAACAGCAGGCCGTTGAAGCTGGTAAAGACTCCCATTGCGAATTCGCGTCAGGACTGTGGCACAATAGAATATAAATACAATATACGTATGTATGTATGTATGTATGTATGTATGTAGGTTGATAGATGAATACAAATGAAAGTGAAATTCTTCCACTTAAATTATTTATTATATTTTATATTTATTTATGTAAATTATTAAATAAATCACTAAAAAATGCGACGAAATAAAGCGAGACCAGCCGAACGTGTTGAGCGGTACAAGCGAACTGATTGACTGAGTACAACAATTGGGAAGAGCTGAAGTAGCGTTGCCTTAACGCGTATATGTACGAGTATATATATACAAAAAAAAAAGCACAAATACATATGTTCTTTAAATACCTATGCACATGTATATTTATGCACTTTATATATTTTTTTGTTGTTTTAATTTGTTTTTTTTTTTTTTTTTTTTTTGGTTATAAAGAGGGTTGGGATGGGAATCGGAGAGAACAACAGTAAGCGAGATTAAACAATAATTTTAGAGGCAAAGACATAAGCACAAATATTTCTAAATATACATAATATTTACTACACATGCATGTCATCACAGGTAGGGAAAAGTAATTTCTTATCAGTCGACTTTTTTTCTGTTAAATCATCTAAATTAAAGTACTAAAAGTGAGGCAAGTCCCAACATGTTTTCATATATTAGGAAACGTACATGATTCAGCATATTTTTTGACTATTTCATATACGTGAAAAATCTTGAAATTAATGCTTAGAAAACCGAAATTTGGTTTATTAATTGATTGCATGCATAAGTCTATATATGTATGAGTGTTTGAATGCCAATAAACAATAATATATGTATATGTGTATGTACTAATATATTCATATGTATGTATGTATATACATACACGCCCTATATTAGTGCAAAAATTTTTTTTTTTACCACATAGTCCATTGGAGTACCTTTGTATGCCTGTGTATGCCTGTGTAGTGTGGCATTGGACCACTCGGTAGCCGATTATTGCTCGCTTTGCAAGTGACACATACCATTGATGTGACGACACAAAGACGGTGCGGTAGAGATTTTTCTTCTCCTCCCCCGCAAAAAATAAAAAAAACATCTATCGGCACTCACCAGCTTTGTCCATCTACCTGTTAAATACCGTTTTTTTTTTTGTAAATTGGTTGAATATTTTTTTATGAAAACTGATTTTTAAATTATTTTTTAATTATTATTATTTTTAATTTAATTTATTTTTTATTATTAATAGAATTTTGGTAACTTATAATATTATTAAACTTATACAAAAATTTTTGATAATAATTAAATTAGCGCCATGAGCAGACTTCAGAGAAAACTTTCTGGACACACTTAGTTCTATGTGGAATTAACCGGTTTTTGACAAATATATACCGTTTTGTTTAATAATATTTTACCATTTTGAAGGTTAAGTCACTTTATGCGTCTCTCAAAGAAATCCATGTCCCTATTAGCAAAAACTTGGTACAATTTTCACCTGCCATATTATTCGCGATAGACGGGAAGAGTTGGTAAGCACTTGGTGTGCGGTACGGAGTATAAAGTGCGTGCATAAGAGCCTTCCAACCAAGCTCTCGATGCTTCGGGCGAGCCATTATCGATGTGAAACACAATTTCCCTGCTGTGTGCCAACGCTGAACGTTTCTTGGAGATCGCTCTTTCTAGATGTACAAATTTCTGACAATATAAATCTGTTTTATGAGTTTGTTTTTGGTGAGGGTAGGGGAGAAGCTGAGCCTTTCCAATCAGACCAATCACATAACAAAACCTTACTGGACTACTTTTTACGAGACTTAATACATTCGAATCCATAGCAAATTGAAATATATTATATAATATATTCGAGAACTAAAAAGTCTGTGGAATTTATTTATTTTTTATAAATAAAATTTTTTCAGTATCGAAATTTAATATTAATCAAGTACATAATCATTATTTCGGCATTTTTCAGCTAACTTCACAATTCCCGCAGTGCAGAGCTTCTGTTGCTTATCGGCGAAAAACTTTACCAATAAATTTTCAGCTATTCTTGCGCCAGCCAATTCATTCTATTAAGCGAGTTTTGTAGCGACTGAAACAAGTGGTAATCCTGGCTACATGGTGGATGTGTCAAAACGTGCCCACAAAGCTTCGTCCATTTTCGGATAGTCTTTAAATATCTACATGTTTTGCCGTTGTCGTAATGAAACACAACACCTTTTCTATCGACAGATTCTGGTAGGCTAATTTTTGAAGAGCTTGTTGCGTGAAAATTAATGGTTTGATATAAACTTTCATTGATACTCCATTAGAGAATCCTCTCTAAGTGCTACAAGGATCATTCTAGTACCTTCCAAACTCACTTCCTTTAGTTACTCCATAGCATATTCCGCTTTTTTTGAGAGATGGGTATATGGTTTATATTTTTTGTGGATTGTAGGTAGTTTAGGACTAGTCTTTCATCCACGTGGAGTATATACTTCATTCATAAAGGTAGTACACGCATATTTCTCTGGGTTATAGATACTGTATATGAAGAGAGTCTTGATGCTAATCGAAGAGAATAAAATTAAGCGAAATTAAATTTGAAAAACAATAGAATAATATATAAACACTATGAAAAGCACCTTAACTACAATAACTTTAAATATTTTTATCTTCATTTGGCATACATATGCATGTATGTACATACATTCACATTCATCGAAGTTAGGCAAATCGGCAAGATAGCTGCTTATCGTTAGACATTTTTTTGAAACCCTCTAAATTAAAGCGTCTAAAATAAAACAGCTTCCTATATACATACATAGATATATATATATATATATATAAATACGTGATTCAGCACTTTTTATTATCGCACAGTCATTAATAATTATGAAATTAGCGCGTAAGAAAAGTTATCTATTAATACAATTTCGTGTGTAAGTATATACCTATGTACATATGTATGCAAATGTGCATACTCTGTAGTAAAAATGTGAACTAGAACACAAAAATTCTAGTTGAACACTAGTATTTAAAATATACAGCAAAATATATAGCATCGACAATTTTCACCAAACCCACCATTCGTTTGTTTTAATTATTTCTAGCGCGCCATGGGTGAGTTTCATTGGAAATTAATAAACATCTTACTCTATTGCCAATTTAGGCGAGGCCTTAGAGGTTGCCACCGTAGCGCGTGAGAATGATATTTTCATTCCGGTTGCAGACAAATTCATTTTAATATTTTTTTTTGGTGGAGTAGAAATTCAACAGGCATAAAAGAACTAGTTTTTGACTAGTATGAGACTGTTGTATTTTATATATTAGTTGGTAGTTCTTTAATAAATATTTTTATTACCTTCGCATGTTGATGATGAATGATGAAAATCTTACTAGAATTTTTTTCTACTGGGAAGCAATCACCAATAAATGCGTATGTACATTTATATCTCTGTTTGTCAAAATACATAATTACAGATGTGATGCGACTAAAGTTCTAAAAGTTTTTTTGTTTTCAATTGACCGCAGAAATCTTATTAGCGACAAGCCTTCTTGTGTGTGTGTGTTCACAGCGTTTTGACTTATATATGTATGTATGTATGCATGTACCTCGTTGTTCTTGACATTGAATCTGGAGCGTAAACGCCGGCCGGTGGCTTTGTTTTCTTCTCACATATTTATAAACGACTAAAAGCTTATATTTTTCAACTTACTAGGAAAAAATGCATAAATACAATTTTTTAGGTTTTGAGAATTTATATCTCAGCAAGGAAAACATAATATTTTTTTTATTTATTTATTTAACAAAATAAAAATTTAATAGTATTTGTAATAAAGAAATATTAAAAATATATTAAAATAAATTTTGTTTGCCTGTCATAAATTTTTTTTGAATTTTTGTTAATATATCAATTTTGTTTTAAACAAAAACATTTATTTATCACTTTTAAAAGTGATTTGAAAATTTTGATTTTTGTTGCTCCTTTTGATATATGCTTGTCTTCTAAATTAATCACTTACAGAAATTCGAAAACAAAAATGCGGACTCATGGAAGAACTGATTTTTCAAAATAAGAGGAATGTTTATTGTTATGCGTAGGAATATCTTTGCATTTTAAGCAAAGGAATAAAAACAAATTGAGTGAAATTAAATTTAATTCAAAATAGCTAAAAATCAGAAATTACAATAACAGAATTTATGTTTTAAAACTGATAAGAAAATTCAAGTTTAAATATCTATGTGCATACCATATATACATTAATTAAAATCATGTAAAAAATAAAAAAGTTCAATGAAATGATTCAAAAAAAAAAAAAAAAAAAATAATCAAAAAATAATTTTAAACATTTCAGATGAAAAAAGGAAACATAAAACTTAAAAGTTAATTTAGAAAAAAACAAAGCTTGAACAAGTAATGATTAATATAAATAAAAATGAATTAATGAAATTCGAATAAAGATAGAACTAGAAGTGTACAAACAAAAAAAAAATAGAGTCAGTAACTTAACTTCAAATTAAATGATTAATTAGAACTGCAAAATACAGCATAAAATAAAAATTCCATAATAATAAAAAAAAAAATAAAAAAATATGAATTTTAAGTTAAAAATAATCTAAAGCATAAGCTTAGCAACCATACATATAATATATTTATATGTACATATATACAGACGCATTCTTAAAACATTTCCTTGTTCCTCTCATCGGTTGTGATTAAGGCGAATTTATAGAAGGTGAAGTTGTCACATCATATAATTTCTTGTTCTTCCTGCCATTTCAACAAATTACACAAACAATATACATGAGAAATAGGTTTTGACATTACGAACTTTTTATTACAACCACAAAATAAATTGAATAATTTTCGGTTTTGACTTTTCGAAACTATAATTACGCAAAGAATATACATAGGCTTTTTGTTTTTGTATTCTTGCTACTACCGTGTGTAAATTTGCCTTGGTTCTGATTTATTTTGAAAAATAAAACATAAATTGAAAATTTTTCAGCTGAAATTCGTTTGCTGAGATCAATAATTTTATTATACAAATATTTTTTTCTTCTATGTTTAATGAGAAGCTGAAAATTCAGGTCTGTTGTTTTTAAATTATTTCTTAAACAATAAATACCCTTCACAATCTCTCAAATCAATTTTAACCTAAGCCAACATCGGCCGTTTTTGTTTATCGCTCTAGTCCCATATAAACTCATGCGCTTTTTATTAAAGCTTTTATTCGCGGCATGTTTTCGAGAGATATTTACTCAGAGAGCTTACTCTAAATTCTCTGGTTATTTAGGGGTGGCTAACTTTGAGTTCGTACTGTACACTTCGTGGTGACTAAAATGGCTTCAAATACAAAAATTTTTGTATATACATATATATTTATATGGATGTTTGTATAAATATTTCAAATTGCACATTACCAATGTGAGAGTATTCAAGATTGCGCTTTTGCTGACGTCATCAAAGCATATAATACATAATTTGAAATAGAAATTCATGCATACAGCACATATGTATAAGCATATAATTTGAGCTTTAACCTTTAACTTAAGGTACCAAATCCCTAATAAAGAAGCTACAAGCATATCAGAGCAGCAATGAGACATATATGCTACGAGTTAAGTAGCTTATTATTATTTCAAACCGGATAGTTCTAAAGGACTTCGTTCAACACCACGTGAAAGAATCACTAGACACACCGACAGGCCCTGAATGTCATACGTAGAGAGCTCGTCAACACTTGTACCAACTCTCTTGTCGTGATTGCCGTTCTTAGAATACAATCACCACCCAGCCAGATTGCGCAGGCTCGCGAGACTCGAGCAATACTGGCGCAATTAAGAGCTGGAAACTGTAGTACACTAAATTTTTTCCTATTCAGACTTAAGTCCGATATGTTTAACGTTTGCTCTATATGCGATAAGTCCCCGCACGACACTAATCACCTCTCTTTTGTTCTTAACCTGTAGAAATTGCTTGTTTCCTGGACCACGACGACATAGACTAACTTCGGCTGTTGCTGGGCGTGATTGAGCTGATACAACAACTCAAATATACTCAAAAATAAAAACATTAGAGGTACCGGGTACAATAAGGGTCAAATGATATTTCTGAAGAACAATTTTCGCGAGTGAGGTTAGAATAATCTGCTCAATATCGCATATAAACTCTTGGCAGGAGAGGAGCATTAAGTCCCACAGTATACTTTTTTCATTCTTACAAATATCCATAAGAAAAGGATCCATACATAGATCTCTTCGTTGACATTATGGTAATATAAACATATATTCAAAAGACCCCTAGCAAAACATTTGGTCTTGGATGAGGTAGTTCCATTACTTTTCGGTCTTACCATTGAATATGGAATCAGTCTTGCCAGAATGAAAGGTAGGTTCCCTCATTACCAAAAATTGGAGGAAATGCTTGGTCGAAAAAACGTTTCAGCGATTACAAAGCGCCAAACATATATTATATGTAATATAATTACAGATGATGTTTTATTTACGAAAAATCTATTTACAAAAATAAAAAAAGTAAAAATAAAATCTAAACTTTCGCTTCATCTATTTGTATTGCTTTCTTCGCAAATTCTTGGAAATTTATATACAACATAACCGGCACTTCCAGTGCAGCAAAATGGCCAGCTTGATTGTAGTAGGTGCTGTGAATTAAATTCGGAAACTTATCTCTGAGCGCCCAATCCAGAGCTGGCGGCAGATCGAACTTGAAGCGAGCGCAACCCATTGACACAGGCGTTTGAACGCGATCCAATTGCAGCCCCAAAAACTTTCTCGACATATTTTCCGCATAGAAACGACCCGCTGAAGTGGCCGAATTGGTGAGATAATAAATCATAATATTATCTAAAAGCGCATCCAATTTGTACACTTTGTCCATGGCGTTAAACTCCTGATTGAGACCTGGGCCTGTTGTCTGTTGAAATTTCTCCAGTATATATGCGGCCAAAGCAATCGGACTGGCCTGCAATGCAATACCGATGGTATCCGGTTTGGTCGCTTGTAAATGGAAGTAACCGGATTCGACGAGCAGAAGCTTAAATTTATCCTTTAAGGGGAAATGATGTTCGGCGAAGAAACGCTGGGGTAGAAAACGTTCCGGCATAAAGCTGGCAATGTAGGATTTAATCATAGATAAAGGTGTATACAAAAGGCACATATTCGAATGATAACCGATCACATTTTCGGGGAAGAGCGTGGAAATAGCGCTGCCAATGATTGAACCCCAATCACCGCCCTGTATCAGGAATTTTTCGTAGCCCAAACGTAACATAAGATTACGCATTACAATGGCCATTTGTGCGACATCAAAACCGGGTTTAGCGGCGGCCTAAAATGTGGTGGGGGGACCGTGAGGTAGTGAGGTTAGAAAAACGAAAGTGATAGAATATATCAATTAACTTACATCAGAGAAACCATAACCGACCAGCGAGGGTGCAATGACTTCGAAAACATAATCATTAATATCGGATACCTCCACGAGGAGATTTATGAATTCATAAAATTCACGCACCGAACCGGGCCAGCCGTGTAACAGTAGTAGCGGGACCACCTTCTTCTCTTTATACGCTTCTGGCTTTGGCTTTGCGTGTATGAAGTGGATGTTCAAGCTGAAAGTGCAATTAAATTGAAATGTAATTAAAAAAAATTAAGGATACTTGAAAATATAGGGAAATTAAAAAATATGAAAAAAATCAAATAAGGAAATTAAAATTTAGATTTAAATTTTATATAAACTTAAATAAGATCAAAAATAATTTTTTTGTTAAAAGAAGATCAAAATAAAATTGAAATGAAAAAAATTGAAGAAAAAAATAAAAAAGCTAAGATAAACTAAATTAAATAAATTAAAAGTAATTAAAAATTAGATAAATTTAGTCTATATTAATAATAAAATAAAAATTGACACAACTAGAGTGATAAGCAAAATTTTATGTAATAACAACAAAAAAATGAAAATTTTTAAAAAAAATAATTTCATTACCAAAACAATAGTTAAAATCGGGTTAAATTAATTAAATTTGAAAATAAACACAAAAGTAAATACCAAATTCTATTAGCGGAATATAATAATTAAATAAAAAAAAACATGAAATCAAATTAAATTTAAAAAATTAATGTATAAAATAAAAACTAATTCTCAAAGCAAAAAAACAAAATAATTAAAAACAGTTATAACTAAAATAAAAATTTAATTAGAAAATTTATGGTTAGGTTAAAGCGAGAAATAGAAAAATTGAAAATTGAAAACAAAATATAAAAAAGAATAAACAATAAATAAAATTAAAACTTAATTAGAAATTTTAAATTAAGGCGAAGAAGAGAAATAAAAAATTTAAGTAATTATAAACGAAATTAAAATCAGCAAATAGTTGTAATGAAAAACTTCAAAAAAATAAGCAAAAACTCTAAAACAAAACAGTTATGAATCAAAATTAATAAAATTAGAAAAACGAGGAAGTGAAAGAAAATATTAGTTGAAACGTGATCGAGAAATAACAAATATAATATATTACTATGGAAATTGGCGGCCACTGTATCGTATTGACATTTGGAAGGCTCGGGTTCAAATCCCGGTGCCACCAACATCAAAAAGTTATGAAAAATTAATTTAAATAAAAAATTAAGTTAAATTTTAAATTAAATCGCGACCGCGATTAGATACAGACATAGATACAGAAATACGTCAGAAATATTAAACAAAACTTATAAACAAAACAAAAACCACAAAATTTATAAAAAAAGGTGATAAAACAATATTTTTATAAAAATTGAAAATATATTAAAAAATTTATTAAATAAAATAATGTAAACTCAAGTAGTTAATAAAAACAAAAACCACATGAAAGAAGAAATAAAAGATTAAAATGTAAATTAATAGAATTAAAATTTTGGAAAATAAAAGGGTTTCTAAAATTCAAAAAAGGTTTATAAAAAGCATTGACAGATTTCAAGAATTACTAGTAAAATAAAAAGTTTATTTTTAAATAAATACTAAAAAAATAAAAAAGGATAAAAGCAAAAAAAAAATAAAACAAATAAAAAACTTATTAGGAAATTTAAATTAAAATAAAAATTTGTTTATAGAAAAAAAATTGATATTTTTTTAATTTATTTAAACTAAATTAAGAATATTAAAATTAAATTAAATAAAATATTTTCATGTAATGAAAAATATTAAAATAAAAAAATTAATAATGAACATAAGCAATAATAAGCTTTAATATTACAATAAAAAATAGTTATACACACAATGATAAAGAAAATTTAATTTTTATAAAAATAGATGTAAAAGTGAACACTACAAAAACAGAGAAACTACAAGAGTAAACAAAAAAGTGTGAAAATTGAGGAAAAACTAACACATAAAGTTGTAAATAAATAAAAACAATAAAAAACAATATATAAAAAATTATAAAAATAAAATAAGAGTATAAGTTAAATTAAAGATTTTAATAAAAAAATTAAAGTTTTGAAAATTAGATAATTAAAAACGTGAAAAGATAACAAACAAGTAAAATTCAATATCACCGAAAAATGTACAGACTATTTATTTATTTCGCTCTCTACTCACCCCTGAATTTCGGTTTTATAGTGCGGCAACGAATTCAGAAATTCCTCATGCGCTCTCCATTTAAGCAAATAGTAGTCACGCCAATAGTCTACAATATGCCTAAGTGCGTCCGAATTGAAACCATATTCGAATTTAATACCCTCCAAAGGTGGCGCATATCTCCAAGTGCGATTGAGTTGCGTACGCAAATCGTCGATAATCTACAGGTGGGAGAGAGGATGGATGAGATATTCACTCATTATCACCATTTACACACGACTCAATCGTATTAAGCATTTTTTTCTTCTCTTCATTTTTACAAACCGTTTGATCATATGCTATTTTAAATGGCACCACATCTTTGGGCGCCTCATAGTCCGTTGGGTTGTCAGGTCCCCAATATGTATTTGTATCTAATTCTGGTTTCGGCAGTGGTTTAATTAAATCGTTCACCCTTTGATAGAGCCAAATACTTGAGATGGCCATAAGGCCAATGATAATAACACCTTTCATATTGAGCGTCACAACAATGAATATTTATTGCTATTTATTTATGTATACATATGCACATGCATATGTATATTTGAAATTCAGCGCCTCACTAGACACGTACGGGTATTTCGTCGAAAATGTTGTGGTGAAGAAATATACAACTGCTTACGCTGATTGCCCGTCGCAAACTAAATTATTTTTGCTTTCATTTATTATGCGATAGATATTCTTCTCTTTATCTAATTGTTGTTGTTGGTTTTTAAATTGTGATTCTATTCGTAGTACTCACATTACACACCATATGGCAGGTGGCCAACAATATTTTTACAACGATGTTTTTTGTGTTTGAAATTAAAATTAAATCTGATATTAAAAATCAAATATTAATTTAAAATTTATTTTCAATCTTATAAACTTGTTGTCAAAAGAAGGTATTTTTTTTTTTAACTTTGTAGTTTTCCTGTTATTTTTAATTTTTTTTAGACGAATCTTGGTTTAAAAATATATATATTAAAATTTTGAAAGAAGCGTGTACAAAACATTTATTCCTAAGTTTCTATAGAAATCTTAAATTTAAGCAAACATATTTGTTTAAAAAAGTTAAAAAAATTGTCTTCCATTGTGGTTTGAGTAAATCACTATAAAAATTCTCTAAAATATTATAATCCCAAAACTTGGCGAAGTTTTAGTTAAAGAAAAGAAGTATTTTAGTCAGTGTATATAACTAACTCTACTTTAACTCTCATTTTTATCATTATTTATTTTTTATTTCTTGCATCGAGTTCCAATTTTTAGTGCCATAAAGAATGAAGTTTTATTTATATTATATTATCCGCTCTGTTAGAATACATACGGGTACAAACGCCCATACTTTTGTTGTTCTGACGATGTTTTTATCTTATCAAGAAATGAAATAATATTTAGTACCAATGGTGATTTTATAAATTATATTTTCAAATATTTTAATCTACATGTGCACATATTTTTATCTACAAGTTGCCAGCTAGATTTTTATATGTAGATTTAACCACCATTCATGAATTGACGTGTCGATTTGTAAACGTGGTTAGTATGTTCAAAATTACTTTAATAATTTTTTTTTTCTAATTTAAATTAATTTAACTATACTTTATATCATTTCATTTTATTTTTATCTTTATGTTTAGTTTTTTTAAAATCACTTAACTTTTATTTAATTTTTTTTACTTATTTTATTCTATTTCCTGTAATTTTAGTTCATTTTATAACATTTAATATTTTTCGCTATTAATTATTTTTTTATATTACTTCCAGTTAATTAATTTAATTTTCTGTTTTTGCTAAATTTACTTTACTCATTTTTTTCTTCAATTTTAATTTTTTTTAATATTATTACATTCTGTTTAATTCAGTTTATTTAAATTTGCTATCTCACATATTGTGATTTTTATATAATTTTTAATTTTCTAATTTTGTTTTTCTTATCTTAATTCCAGTTATTTACTCTTTTGTTTCTACATTTTTAATTAATTATGGTATTTCATTCTTCCAAATCTTTTTTATTAATAACAATTTCTTCATTTTATTAATGTATATAATGTTGTAATATGCTTAAATTACTTAGGTCCTTGAACATTTTTTTAAAATCACTTTCCTTGTTTACTTTTATTTTTATTAAAATTTTAAAGAAGGTTTATATTTTATATATTTTTTTGTTATTATTATTTTATTTATATTATTATGTTTTGTTTTATTTTTTTATGTATATTATTATTTATTTTTTTATTTCCATTTTGAGTAAGTTTGTTGTGTTGAACTTAATTACGATGGATTGACTCGGATTTATTTTGGCTTAAAATATATTTTATCAATTTTATTTTGATAATTTTCTTCTTTTTTATTTAGTATTATTTAATTCAATAGAATTTAATTTTACCAATTTTACTAATTTTTTATTTTAATTTAACTTAATTGTATTTAATTTTAAGTAATTTAATTTAGTTTATTTCTAATTATCTTCTTTTACTTTATTTCATTTTTTATTTCTATATATTTTATTTTAATTTGTTTTGTTTAATCTTATCTCATTTCAATATGTTTCAATTAATTAATTTCATTTTATTATATTTTATTACTTTTAAATCTTTTTCTCGATTTTAATTAGTTTTATTTAATTTTATTGTGGTTTATTTTGTTTCATATTATTTTTATTTTAATTTAGTTGATTTTTCTTGCTTTGTTTGGTTTTAGATTCTTTACTTTTATTTTATTTTATTGTATTTAATTTCGATTTTTTTATTTTACCTTATATTTTTTATATTTTTAATTATTATGCTGTATTTTATTTAATAATATTTTGTTTTTAATTTTATTTATATTATATTTCATTTCATTTTGTATCATATTATTTTATTTTATGTTTATTTATTTTATTTTATTTGGCTTGACTTTATTTTATATGCTTCACTTTAATTTAGTAGTTTATTATATTTTATTTCATTTCATTTTATATTAATTTATTTTATTTTAATTTTTTTTAATTTATTTCATATTATTTAATTATTTTTACTCTATTTTACTTTGTATTATTTAAGTTCATTTTATTTGATTTGATTTGCTTTATTTCATTTAATTTTTTTTATTTTATTTTATTTTCATTTAGTTGTTTATTATATTAATTATATTTTATTAATTTAATTTTTTTCTTTTATTTTATATTTTTATATTTTGTTTTATTTTACTTTATTTAATTTTATTTGATATTTTAAATTGTTATGCTTTAAATATTTTGTTTTAATTTTTTTAAATTTGATTTAATATTTTCAATTCATTTTATTTTATTCTAATTTATTTTATTTATTTTATTTAAGTTCATTTTCATTGCTTTTTTGTTATTTCATTTAATTTATTTTATTTTTTATTTTTATATTTTATTTCATTTCATTTCAGTTTATATTATTTTATTTTATTTGTTTCATTTTAATTTAGTTGTTTATTCTGTTACTTAAATTTTATCAATATAATTTTTTTTTCTTTTTCTTTACTATACATATATTTTATTTTATTTTATATTACTTTATATAACTTCATTTTATATTTTAAATTATTACGCTTAGTTTTATTCATTTATATTTTGTTTTTAATTTATTATATTTGATTTCATTTTATAATATTTTATTTTATTTTATTTTATTTTATTTTATTTTATTTTATTTTATTTTATTTTATTTTATTTTATTTTATTTTATTTTATTTTATTTTATTTTATTCATTTTTATTTTATTTGTCTTATTTTAGTTCATTTACATTATTTAATTTTATTTTTATATCATTTACATTTTTTATTTTATTTTATTTTCGTGTAATTGTTTTTGCGTCGGATAAATAAGCAATATTTACTCCACATGTACCTACATAGTGGTACATTCTTTTCTACATATACGGGTATATCCATGTATGTTATGTGAACAACGTCCAATTAAAATATTATTAAGTTTAATTTTTATTTTTTGCTCAAACAAAGAATTTGGTTCATAGTTCACTTTTAAAAATCTTTATATAATAAAATTTATCTTTATCACCAATTGAGGTATTTATTTTTAACCATTTCATTCGATCTTTACGGGTTTAATAATTTTTGCATACAAATGCACATAAATGATTAAACATACAAATGTAGTTACTTTGCAATGTGTACAATTTAGAAAAAGTAAACTTATTACATATTTAATTCACCTTTGGCTTCAGCAAATGTTATTTTAATAATTTGCGTAGCGTAGAAAAAAGGTTGAGAATAAAATTCGGCTTATCTACTAGATGTTAATGAGAAATTCAAAAGTTTCTAACACACAATTAACGTATACATATATAAAAATGTTATTTCTGAGAGGTCATAGGTTTCTACATTAAAAAAAGCTCGACTGTGTTTAAAAATGTGTAAAAAAATTTTAATGTATTACATATATTTTTTGGTTAACTCAAGCATAATGGGAAAATCTTCACTCCATAAACACAATTATGTTTGAACTTTTGAATTCTGCACATATAAACACTCCACTGATTGAAATTTTTTTTAGAATTATACCTAATTTGTTCGTAAAAATTTCGAAAATTTCACCTGTAGGAAAATATTTAGATCTACGTCGTTGTTAGTGCCCAAACTTAGCTAGGACTAGTGACATTACTTTCCTCTTTCCCAACATACGTAGTTACTTGCGTCTGGACAGTTAAAGAGACAATTTTTAATTCCAAGAACGGCGGAATTATATGTAAATAGTGTGTATCATACTGGGTAAAATGGAGAATGGGACATTATGATCCCACTGACGGATCGGCTTGGGTTTTAATCATTTTCAACTCCTTACGACATCGTGTGATTCTGAACTTTAAGTTAACGAACAGACAACTCGATACTAAAATATACTAATACCCACGAAAAAAAAAATATTTCGTTTATTAAATATTTTTCTCTCAGTGTACTTCCATCAAATGCCACAACAAATACGTGCAAATGCATTAATAGTTTAAATAGGAGCGACAAAAACATATGGACATTTGACATTTGACAATGATTCAGCTTTTTTGCTATCGCACACCAATGACGAAAGTTCTGAAAATTCACGCTTACAAAGAATTACGTAAAATTTTCTGCCAAACGAATAAATCTACATACGTGTATCTATCTATCTATGTATGTGGGTATGTTTCAGTATAACTCAGTTTGAGTATTTTGTCTTACGAATTTGTTCTTGGTGATATTGATATTGAAATAGTATTAAGTCGCCGTGCTATCGTTTCTATATAAAAAAAAAACCCATGAATATGTTGATATAGTAATAATTAAGTAATAAATTGAGGAAGTCACATGATAAGGAATCACCCTGTATGGAACGGCTTGCAGAAGTCCTTACCGATCTTGCCGTAGCTTTTAGTGTTGCTTAAGGTCAGTTTACGTAGCCATATACACCGGACTTTTATTCGGCTATGGACAGCCACACAAGCAGCATTGCCCGAAAATTTCTTTTGAGAATATTTATGTGACTACAACAGCCAGGTTCTTCTCAACCTGATTTTTAGAACGAAGTGGAGATTTTTCTTTTTTTCCTTTGCATCGAAAATTTTCAATGGACGACATGATGTACACATTGCAAGTACTCTCTGCGTACACAAACCTACTGATAGCTAAAGGCAAATTCCAGGTGCCTAGCCATCACTACCGTTTATTA